TTTTTCCGTGTCCGGCAACGGATCGCAACCCTCAGTGTTGTTGCCCCCGTACCGGACCGGGGACCGGCAACGGGATCGCAAGCCTCGGTGTTGCTCCCGCGCCTCGCTCAGCCAGTGAGCGGGAGCCGGTCTGTATGTGGGATCCGAACCCTCGGACGGGAGCGCCTCCGCGCTTCCCAAGCGGCGCACTATCCAGTGCGCCACCGGGCCGGCCCGCAATGTGGTTTTAATTTGCATTTTCCTGATGACTAGAGATGTTGATGATTTTTTCATGTATTTGTAAGTGAGTATTATAGCATGTCAAACACTCCTTTTTCAGTGGTGGGGCATGCTTTGATCTTTTTAAAATGGCTAATGAATGACAGGATGCCACTCCTTAAATCAGACTCTAGTAACTTTTTGTTCATGCTATTACAATAGGCTCCTAATTTGTTTCTCCGCCTGCAGTTTTTCTCTCTTCCACATGTACACACACATTACTGTACAATCAATGTTCTTAATGTACAGCTTTGATTCTGTAACTGCCCTACTCAGCAGACTTCTTTGGCTTCTCAGAGCCTACCAAATAAAGTGCAGCATCTTTAACTTGATATTAAAGCCTTTCTTAATGGCGCCTAGTAACTATTCTGAAACATTCCCGCTTCAGCTCTTGTCTGGGATTTACTATATCCCCTCTATGCATGTTCAGATCCTACTTATTCTTCAGGGTCAAGCTCAGCATTAAATGTGCACCTCTGCCAAGAAGCTTTCCTTTAATTGTTCTTCCTGGCTGATCATCTCTGGCCTTTTTAGTGCAAGATTCACTTTCTATTTTGTATATTGTTATTTGTGTATAGATCTTATCTTTTCTTTTAGATTTTAAGCTCCTTGAGGGCAGAATCTTTAACATTTTTGAATTCTAGCCATGGCTTGGAAATAATAGACCCTCAATTGCTAAAGGTTCTTTTTAGATCTTAAAATTATATTTATGAAAATATACTATTTAACTGATTTTAATGAATCAATATCAAAAACTGCTGTTGTTATATGACCTAATAGATGAAGTAGTGATCTTAAAAAATAAGAGGCATAGGTAGCTGTGGTGGGGGCAGCTGAAATAAAACTTATCTGTAAAACAAAGACAAGATGATGATTCTTGTTTCTGTAGAGCAGGAGTTATTAACCTTGGGTCCAAGACCCCACTGCACCTGTAGATGAGATTCAAGGCTTTAGCAAACCCTCAGAAATTATCTGAGAGATTTTACTTGTATGTGCATTTTAAGGGTTTTTAAGGTAACATCTTTATTGAGATATAATTTATATACCATACAATTCAAGCATTTAAAGTGTACAATTCTGTTTTTAAATATGTTCACAGCTGTGTAACCATCACCACAGTCAGTTTTACAACATTTTCATTACCCCAAGAAACCCCTTACCCATTAGCAGTCACTCCCCATTTCCCCACAATGCACTCAAAGCCCTAAACAATTACTAATCTACTTTCTGTCTATTGATTTGCCTATTCTGGACATTTCATATAAAAGGAATCATACAGTATGTGGTCCTTTTGTGACTAGTTTCATTTAGTATAATGTTTTCAAGGTTCATCCATGTTGTATCGGTATATCATTCCTTTTTATGGCTGAATGATATTCCATTTTATAGGTATACCACAATTTGTTTATCCATTCATCAGTTGATGGACATTTGAGGGGTTTCTTCTGTTTGGCTATTATTAATAATGCTGCTATGAACATTTGCATATGTGTCTTTTTTGTGAGGTGAGGATTCCTTAGCTTTCATTAGATTTCACAAAGAGAATCATTGCTATAGAGCTTTGACATTCAGCATTCACATGACAATATTAATACCTGATTATACTTCATTATTCAGAAAAGCCTGGGTTATATAGTAAACCTGAGTGTAAGTGTAATTTTTTTTTTTTTTTGAGTTTGGAAGGGGACAGAAGATCCAGAGGATTGATCTTAGGCAAGATGTTTAGCATGTCTGTGCTTCAACTTTATTATTTGTAAAATGAGGATGTTGGCAGTATTTCATGGAGCTCTTTGGAGGCTACAGCAAGATACTTTCTGTGAACATTTGTTATAAACTATGAAGACCTGTGCACATTTAGGCATTTCAAGCCTTCATGTTTGGATTTGTGCATGCTTCTGTACTGGTTTCTTGAGTTTTCAAAAGACAGTAAAAGGGATTTAACTGTACATAGAACTTACATTCTTATTTTGAAAATCAGTACTGTACTCAGAAATCCTAGATAACTTTTATTCTGTTTGATATAGTATAGAAAGACCCACTACAATTTTCGATAATGAATTGATGCTTATTTAAGCTGGGGACAGTGCTTTTGATTTTGTTTTCGTTAACTGAATCTAACAGAGGATTTCTCTTGTTTCTTTATCTTCAAAAAATTGTCATCCTCCTCACACAAAACATGTTTCAGCACCTCTAGGGCACGGGTGTAGAGTGCTTATGCTAAGAGGAGCTATATTTACATAGGTCTAGTTATGGAAGGTACCATCAGTTATCATACCCTGTTCTCTTTGGGGCTTGTGTTCTCCTCTGTTTTGACGTGACGGCATGTATGTGCACTATGGAGCAGTCTGATAATAAAAGCCATTGGAGTACATGTTTTTTCTTTTATTTTTCCTGGTTCTTAGTATCTTTCTAGTGAAGGGATTGCTTTATGAATTGACCTTGGCATGGGGAAAAGGAGGTTGAGCTAGAAAGACTGCATGTTGTTGTCTATATAAAGCAGGCAAGATTGAGAACATTGTCTTTACTGATTTAAAATGTCCTTTGGTTTTTTGAAATGCACAATATTTGAAACATGGTTTTATTATTAAATTTCAAGGAAATGTTTGTCTTTTTGAGAGTACAGTAATCTAAACACCAAATGAGCAGATAATCTACTCAGCCATACATACATAGGTTACTGGTGACCTTGGGAAAGGAAATGACTCCTTCATTTCTGGAATTTTGTTGTTGCAATGGATTAAACCACACCTCTTTCCCTTCCTGCCTCCTTTATGTACTAAACCCAGCAAAATCTGAGACTAAGGCACTTTTCCCTTGAAC